AATCCTGATATCTTTAATAATGAAGGAACTAGCAATCAGTTTTTGACCATCACAAATAAGATTTTTCATCCTTTTCAGGAAATTTCAGTACCCGCCGACTGTACTTGAGTTACTCTTCGTAGTCGCTCCGCTCGCACCTCCAGCATGCCTGGCCACGTTGTGAAGAGCACGGGTCCCGACCCCGACCCCACCGAATACCTCTTCGTTTCCCCTGAACAAAAGCGCATCGACCAGACGAAGCCGTACGACCCCAAGAAGTCCGTCTGGGCTCCCGATCCCGAGGAGGGCTTCGTTGAAGCTATTCTCCAGGGAGCCAAAGGCGACAAGCTGGTAACGGTTAAGCTTCCCAACGGTGAAACGAAGGACTTCAAAAAGGAAGTCATCGGTCAGGTCAACCCTCCCAAATACGAAAAATGTGAGGATGTGTCTAATCTGACTTTCCTTAACGATGCTTCTGTCCTGTACAACCTAAAGACCCGTTATCAGGCCAGACTTATCTACACTTACTCCGGTCTTTTCTGCATTGTCGTCAACCCCTACAAGCGCTACCCCATCTACACCAACCGCGTCGTCAAAATCTACCAGGGCAAGAGGCGTAATGAGGTGCCCCCTCATCTCTTCGCCATCTGCGACGGTGCCTACGCGAACATGATGCAAGGTACTCGCCGTCGAACTCTCAGTTTGTATCCCGATATAGTTGACTTTGATGATGGATGAATTGCAGAGTAGTTTAATATTCTAAAATGTGAATTTTCCATTCTTACAGAGCGTCAGAACCAGTCTATGCTCATCACGTAAGTTTCTAGATATTGTGTCTAATAGCACGACATTTTAGTGGATTTGCATCTTTCTCTGAAATCCAAATAACATGTATAATTGTAAATAACTTTGTTTATTAAACTACCAAACTGCATTGAATAATTACTTATCGTCTAAAGGACATTTATCAAAATATATATTTGATAAAATATACAGCAAAATTGTTCTTACATTTCCTCTAACATGTTGTCATCTACAGTGGCGAGTCTGGAGCCGGCAAGACTGAGAACACAAAGAAGGTGTTGTCTTATTTTGCCAACGTCGGCGCCTCCGGAAAGAAAGAAGACAACAAAAAGGTAACTGTTCCCTAAAGTCGAGCTAATGTGGACATATATTGGTGTTTGTGTGTCTTTAACATTTAAATGCATGTAGACAATGTATATATGTGTCCACACACATATGCATATACACACATATGCATATACACACACACACACACACACACACACACACACACACACACACACACACACACACACACACACACACACACACACACACACACACACACACACACACACACACACACACACACACACACACACAACACACACACACACACACACACACACACACACACACACACACACACTATATATATATATATATATATATATATATATATATATATATATATATATATATATATATATATATGTATATATATGTATATATATATATATATATAATATATATATATATATATATATATATATATATATGTGTGTGTGTGTGTGTGTGTGTGTGTGTGTGTGTGTGTGTGTGTGTGTGTGTGTGTGTGTGTGTTACATATATATATATATATATATATATATATATATATATATATATATATATATATATATATATATATATATATATATATAGTTTGTGTGTTTGTACGCTTGCGCCTACTTGTGTGTGCTTGTGTTCATATACATACACTTTCGCGCCGTTCCAACAGTTACATTACAGAAATTTCGATATTTAGTCAAGTTGCATTATTTTCTTTTTCTTTTGTGCAGAACTTAGAGGACCAGATTATCCAGACCAACCCCATCCTTGAGGCCTATGGTAACGCCAAAACCACTCGTAATGACAACTCTTCTCGTTTCGTAAGTATGCTAGATAAACTCACGTTGCTGAATTAAATGATTTTAGTCAAAGACTACGCTAAAATAATCGAGATGTCTATTCGACTTTCTAATGTCTTCAGGGTAAGTTCATCCGTGTGCACTTCATGCCCACCGGTAAACTGTCTGGCGCTGATATCGAGGTCTACCTGCTGGAGAAGGCTCGTGTCATCTCCCAGTCCCCCGCCGAGCGAGGCTACCATATCTTCTACCAGTTGATGTGCGACCAGATTGAAAACATTAAGCGTAAGTAACTTTTTCTTGGCTACCCATTTTAGTGCAGCAAATTTCCTATAATCTATTTTCCCCTACTTATATAATTGTGTCTTCTACAGCAATCTGTCTACTGTCGAATGATATCTACGACTATCACTTCGTGTCCCAAGGAAAAGTAACCGTCCCATCCATTGACGACAAGGAAGACATGCAGTTCACTCATGTAATTATTATTAACTATCGTTATTATTATTTGCAGGAAAATACCCTAAATTACATAGTAATGAAACGGCTTTATATTGTTTAAGACTAGTATTACCCAGCAAAACTAATATCATTTTTATGCATATTAGGATGCATTTGACATCCTGAACTTTACCAATGAAGAGAGAGACAACTGCTACAAGGTCACGGCGTCTATCATGCACTTTGGCAACTGCAAGTTCAAGCAGAGGGGACGCGAGGAGCAGGCCGAACCCGATGGAACTGAGGTAATAATAACATTACTTATGTATGCTTAACAAATAAACCTCCTAGGATCTACGAATTAATTAGATATATATATATTTTTACTGAAGCACATGTACTGTTTCGTTTGCAGCCCGGTGAAATTGTTGGAAAGCTTCTTGGTGTAGACGGCGAGGAGCTCTATAGGAACCTGTGTAAACCCAAGATCAAGGTCGGCACTGAGTTCGTCACTCAAGGAAGGAATGTCGATCAGGTCAACTACAGCGTCGGTGCTATGTCAAAGGCTCTGTTCGACCGTACTTTCAAGTGGATTGTCAAGAAGTGTAACCTGACACTTGAGACTGGCCTGACTCGTTCCATGTTCATTGGCGTGCTCGACATCGCCGGCTTTGAAATCTTCGACGTAAGTATCAAAGCGCTTTAACACTAGCTGAATATGACGATCACTACTGTACTTCTTTTGACAGCTAAGACCTTTTATACTGTGATAAGATGAAGAAAACCCTAATTAAACTATTGTTCTCCCACTAGTTCAACGGTTTCGAGCAGATCTGTATCAACTTCTGTAACGAGAAGCTGCAACAGTTCTTCAACCACCACATGTTCGTACTAGAACAGGAGGAATATGCAAGAGAAGGTATTGTGTGGCAGTTCGTTGACTTCGGCATGGATCTGCAGGCTTGCATTGAGCTCTTTGAAAAGGTAATATTATCACCAGTATAAGTTTTACCATTCTATAACTATAGATTATGTGGCGCAGATTGTATACGATCTACTTAATATTTCATTCAATATCTTCAGAAAATGGGTATCCTCTCCATTCTTGAGGAAGAGTCTATGTTCCCCAAGGCTACTGACAAAACATTCGAGGAGAAGCTCAATATCAACCATCTTGGAAAGTCACCTTGCTTCATCAAGCCCAAGCCTCCAAAGGCCGGTCAGCCTGAGAACCACTTTGCCATTGTTCACTACGCTGGTACTGTGTCCTACAACCTGACTGGCTGGCTTGAGAAGAACAAGGATCCTCTCAACGACACCGTCGTCGACCAGCTCAAGAAGTCTTCCAATGCCCTGACGGTTGAGCTGTTCGCTGATCATCCTGGCCAATCTGGAGATGGAGGCGGCAAAGGAGGTAGGTTTGTGTAGTTAAATGATATATTGGAAGTAATTTCACAAGACACCCAAGTCAGTTTCATTGTTTTAGGGAAGATTAGTGATTTTATTAAATTTATTAATGGAACAATAAGTGAGAAACTGATTAGGAAAAGTTATAGTAAGTGTATATACATATACATACATACACACACACACACACACACACACACACACACACACACACACACACACACACACACACACACACACACACACACACACACACATATATATATATATATATATATATATATATATATATATATATATATTATATATATATTCTCTCACACACACACACACACACACACACACACACACATGTGTGTGTGTGTGTGTGTGTGTGTGTGTGTATGTATGACAAGTCCAAGACTCTTTCTCTTCTCTTTGTTTTACCTAATTTCGTATCGATTGCAAATGACACAATTTCATTATGATTCATTACCATGTGCTTTATCCTACTTGTGGAAAAGATATATCAAAATTTCATGAGTATAAGAACATTCTTTGAGGTACTTCTTTCCGTGGTATATCGTACATAATTTTCTACGAAAAGCATGTTAGTTATATTCACCAATTTCTGTTCAAGCACATCTGTTTAAAGAACAAGTAATAAATTTTAGATATGAAACAAAGAACAAATAACCTGTCTCGGCATGTGTTCTGAAAAAAGCGTATTCTTATGTTATAACAGGAAAGGGAGGAAAACAGCAAACTGGTTTCAAAACCGTGTCTTCGGGTTACAAGGTAAATCACACCATCGTTTCATTGAAATAGATAAAAAAAATAATTGCAATGAGTGCATACATGATGTCAACAAACCTGTCACTGATAAGTCTCTCTAAACTTTAGCAAATAAAATATCCTCACTCGCTCTACAGGATCAACTGAGTAACTTGATGAAGACGCTGAACGCCACTCACCCTCACTTCATCCGTTGCATTGTGCCCAACGAGTTCAAGAAACCAGGTATGTTAGAGAGTTTGAACTGAAATCCCCCTCCCTGTGAAAGAGGTCCGTCATAAGGAACTTAGATCGTGTATTTAGATTTAAAAAATGAAAGCAAATGGAAAATCACCAAATTATCCAGACAAGGGAATCAAGTTGATATTAAGATATCCTTTTTGGATTGATATATCCACAGGTGTTGTTGATGCCGGCCTCATTATGCATCAGTTGACCTGCAACGGTGTACTTGAGGGCATCCGTATCTGCCGGAAGGGATTCCCC